TCGTTTTATCAAACTGCTTACCTATTAGGTGTTATTCGATTTCTCCTAATATACATAAAATTCAGATATTTATGAAAATATTATATATCTTGAAAATCAGAAATTATATTAACAGACTGTATTTTATACCTGCGCGGCTGTTAATCCACTGCCCGAAGCAATGTGTGCTAAAAACGTGATGATCGCGGATATCACAGGTATAGCAGGCGTCAGAGAAATACTAAGGCTTTGAAAGTACGCAGTCTTATGAAGCCAACGTTCTTCCTTCTTGCGTATAGCTGCAAAAAACACATTATTAAATCACCTACGTTTTACAAATACAGGTTTGTAAATGTAAATTCTACATATTTATGCATCTTTCTAAAGAATATATATATATATATATATTAAATAATTCTATTACTTTACCAACAACACTGCTTTTAATAATTTCTATTCTATATAAAATACAATTTTCTATTTTATTATTCTCACCGAGAAGTTTCTGGCCAAAATATTTCTCCCAGGCATACATCTTAATCAACTTTATGCATTCGAGAATCTCACTCATGAGTCGCACCCGAGTATCTGTAACGTTTACCGATTTCGAGCGAAAATAACCAGTCGCCCGAGAGATGAAGTACTAAAACAGATATTGCTCTGTTTATCAAAATTTTATGCAAAATGCACATATACAGTATTTAAAAAAATTTTTCTCTAAAAATTTTGATACAATATCAAAATGTTAATATCTACAATGATCGAATATCTTTAATAATGAGCCATTTACCTGACACGGATAAAACGAGAGAAAAGCTATCATTCCTACTAGAGCAATGGGATTGAATAACCACAATACGTAAATTATACCACAACTTATAACTATCGGTCCGCTGATAATCATCGGTCCATAAATAATCACATCAAAAAGCCTTTGACTGTCGTTGCAAAATAAATTGATTATCTGAACACAAGATTCATATATTACTACATCAAGAGAACATTTTCTTTGTGTTTAAAGATTTACGGAACAAATTAAGTATCTCACTTCTCCTGTACTTTTATTGCCAAGACTATTTAGTTTTATAATCTTCTTATACAACAGAGCTGTACAAGCCGACTTCAATCGTAATCCAGTCTTGTAGTTCATGTTCCATGTCCAAGTAAAGAAGAAAGCTCGCAGAGAATCGCATACTGTTAGCAGAAAAACCCATTTGATACCATCCCAAAAGTCCTCCTCTGGAGACTCTATGTGTTCCAATATTTTCCTCATTAATATCGTCTAAGTAAAAGAAAATTCTATATTATAATACAAAGATTAGTTTAATAATAATTTATTGTTAATAAGGATGATCTTACAGGGCTTAGAAATCCAAAAATAAGAGAACATGTCAATAAAAAACATGACATGCAAACTCGTGTGCGTACAAATTTCCATGCAACTGTAGAAAAAGATGCTGCATTCGGGCCATTTTCACTTAGCTCTTGTTGCCAAAGTACGTCGAGTCTAAAAAAGTAATTCTTATTTATATTATAATTACAACAAAACTTCGTTTATCCAAATACGTTGGGGGACAGTTCCGATACCAGTATTTATTAGTTCCAATAATAGGAGCTGACACTGAGAAAAGAAATTGAACATTGAGTTTTACTTATTTGTTCATAGGATAAACAATAATATATTAAGCTCACCTGAGTGCATTGTATTCACAGCTATCATATACTGATATGTCTGGTAAGTCCTTTACCGTAAGACCTTTCTTGTATGCTTTCCATAAGTACGATGTCATCCATGTTATATATACATAAGAAAATAATCCAGCACTATCCGCTGGTGAATTTTCTTTCTTCCTGTAAAATATATTTTCATCACTAAAATAATAATTCTTCCCAGCAAACACAAACTAACAGTAATATAACTTATTAATTTCCCATTCAAGAATATAATTGTAATACAACACATGTGTTACATTACTGATAGTTGATATTTACTGAGTTATATCGTATCTAATAAAGATCATATATAATACATGTCATTAAAAATATTTTATTAAATATAATTATTTTTAATTACTACAAAAGATTTCAAGACTTTGATTACGACACGTACTGGTTCTGGTACCGTATTGGTATCAAATTGCCCAAAGCATTATTGTACTTCTTCATCCCAGATCTGGGGACATACTCTCTAACTTGTTTCGCTGTACTGCCACTTGCCTTTGGTAAAAGAGATTGCTGTTGCTCAGGCTCCAAAGACCTAACAGAAGATTGAAAGAAATTGGTATACTTTCCAAGTTAATTCATATAACTGAATCTAAATAATTGTTAATATGGCTCAATTAGAATAAATCAATAAATAAAAGAAGGGCAACGAGCCAATTATAATGTATATTGCCTTCTTTTATTTATTGAATCTAAATATTTCATCAACATTATTTCTCTTACAAGGAGAATATGAAAGACAATTTTAAATGTCCATACCTTTCATTATGTTTGTGCTGTGCATTACTTTCAGTCTGCTTATCATTATTACCATTGTTACTTTCTGTGTTTTGTCCCATTCTTACAGAATATTATTATTTGATAATTCACTCTAACAAACGTAATGGTACCTGAAGAACTTGAAACTTTAATTCATTTCACATCACAATTGCATCTCGAGAAACAAGTGAGATAAAGACCTCTAATCACCGCAAGGTTTGCCATGATAAAGCAAAATTACATAAAGCTACATAACTGTATATATGTTCGGTAAGAATTAAGCTAGTTACGTATCTTGGAAATATCGAGGCATAATCAAACTTCTTATGCAACTACGAAAAGCGTAACACGATTGTAAACATGCAAATCCCTACATATACTATTCCTATAGATTTTCATTCACGCTTATACATATTCATGTATTATACATAAATAAATAGTATCCGACACTATTATTACTCACCTCATCGATAGTGTAGGCGAGATATCCTCATTTGCGACAAGAAGTAATCACCGATTACATCGGCGACACTGATAACACAGCGCGGTTTAATCTCTCGACATCATTAATGAGGTGCGTATTTTTTTAAATTTCCGTCCATGCGCGAAGCCGAGGAGTAGGGCAGGGAAGGGTGAGGTGCTGTCGTGCTATATACAGCGTATACATGACACGCACACTAACGCACCTTCTCGTGTTGGATGACTGACACCTGCAATGATAACATTTAATATTTAGTAGAGTATCATTCCATAAAGCACAAATTCGAGTGCCGTTGGCGCACGAAAACAAACGTTACCTGGAGGAGCCTTTCCCCTCCTTTGGAAACTGCGAAATCGTGCTTTTTACCTTGTTTACAATATTGAAAATATAAAAAATCATAAAAATTGCTTACCAGTTCACTTTCGATTGATGGGGATACGAATCGACGCTCGAGAGTGCTCGAGAAGAACTCCGTGCACAGAATGTCCTTCTATCGTACGGTTTTGTCTCCTGGAAAAGCGTAGGCAGGCATCGTCATATCTGGAATCTCAGCTGACCCATATTTCGTCTTCTGACAGTTCGGTTTTCCTCCCGGAGCTTCCGTTTTCAAGTACGATGAATCCCTCGTGCATTGTTTACTTAATGAAGCGTTTGGGTGTGACGTGTCGGCCGTATTCGCGACTGTATACGGGGTGTCCAAAAAGATCATATTAATTATGTTACAGCGTTCGAGTCCACGGAGTTCACTGCATTGTTTTGAAACGTTTTTACAAAACTTGATTATCTTCGGTACATCAAGTCTTGTAAAAATATTTTGGAGTTATAAATGAATGCTTGAATAAACGAATCAGGATATACAAAATTACATTGTTATTTGAATAAATATATAAACTGTATAAAGCAATTAATCAAAGTATAGAAAGTGAGATACTCAATTTGCTTTGTAAATAAATGAATGAATCCTGTTTGTAATATCCTGGGTTGCGTTCGAAAACACTATCCGAGTGCCTCCGTGTGTAATTTTATCCTTGTTTAACATTTTGTGAATAATGAGAAAATGATACTCGCAAATAAAATGATACTCGGAGTGTTTTCGAACGCAATTGTTCGAGAAAAATTTTCTCAGAATTTTTATACAAATTGGAACACTTTTCAGAAATACTGAAATTCTATATCTTTTTTTTAATTTTTCATGTCATTTCATTAGAAGAGAAATCTTAGAATATTTCAGAATTTACATATATGAATGTTCTAGAATTCTAGAAATAGAAGAGATGCAGATTTTCTCAACATCTATGTGAAGTGCTTCAATTTCTATCAAAAATCAGAGAAATTTTCTAAAAAGTTATAAAATTAATTAGAAATTCTAAAATTTACATAAAAATTCTGAAAAATTATATGAAAAAAATTGAAGCAAATCTGCAAATAAGTGTGCTTTTGACCGAACCAGCCATCATCACAATCAGTAATATCAAATATTTCAGATAATCGTAAGTGTACATAAGAATATATAAGAATACATAAGAATACATAAGAATCTGATACTCTTAGTCTTTATAATTATCTGATATTCTTAGTCTTGATTCTTATGTAAAATCGTGTTTTGTAAATTATTTGCAAATTTAATGAGGAACATTAATAATTAACTCAAATTTTAAACATATCGATTAAACAATATTTGTGCAAAAATTCATTTGGATTCACTTATTTGTCTAAAAGTCTATCTAAAGTTGCAGAAAAATATGGTCATTTTGCTGCATAAAACTATTATAAGCAAAATTATTTATCTTTTATAATTGATTTCAAGGCACATTCACCAGCTAATATTACCAAAATTTTTTAAATGATGGCTGATATTAGTTTATTTTGGTTGATTATTTGACTAATGCCTTTACGCTGATATTATATAGTCAATAAACGAAGTTTTGGATGTGAGATAAGGAACACCGATTAGATTTTCAAAGATGATTTTAGATTGGATTTTTTTCTCAATCTTGGATGAAAATTTTATTCTAAGAATATAATACATGAACTAAGAATATGTATAACAATACAAATATAAACAAGTTAGATTTACTCGGTCAGCGTAAATCTGTTCAAAGCCGAACATTCGATTGAGATAACAAGTCTAACTTATTCACATTCATATTATTTCTGTCTAAGGAATTACGCATTTTACGTACTTTCTCCTCATTGTTTCACATTTTTTTTTATTCAAACATGTGCGATAATATAAACCGAAATCAAATCTGCGTTAAGATATACATAATATTGACACTTGCAGCCGTACATCCGCATGCAGCCATACAGATTCGAAGAGAGCTGCGGCGTCTCCTCATATAGTTTCGTAACATCTATAAATGTCAATGGAAATTATAATTCTTATTCCAAGATTATACAATACGTCATATAGTACATTATCGCGTTGTGGTGAAAGATGAATGTGAGCGGCTATCTGAGGATAGGATCCCGCATGTTACAATACATAAGACAATACGATGAATTTATTGAGGTGTAATCGCGAACCATAGTTAGTTCGATTATAATCGTATATTTTGCGCTTTACAGCTCGTCGCTACGTCTCGACACATATTGACGATTATCATATTTAAGCCTGCATCAAAGCTATTACGATAAGTAACAAGTTTATATATATCATATATAAAATTATAATTCTAATATTTGACATTACATTAGAAAATATCATATACGTCGCCACTAAAATCAAGAAATACCTTTATCGCGTTTAATCTAATTGTATGGCTAAATCAAACTCCTAAAGCTACACTCTTTTCCAATAATATATTCCCCAAGAAATTTTTGCCTTGCATTTTATTTCGACGACGTACGATTGTCTGTTGACATTATGCTCAGTTTAAACGGGAAAAAAAAAATTAAGTTATCAAAGATAAGGGGAAATTGTCTTTCCACCTTTAGACTTGCTCATAGCAAAAATTAAATTACATGTCTACGTAAATTACATACTTTGTATATGTTTATAACATACTTTATGTTATAAAAGAATAAGCAAGAGTACTTATACACTACTGATTTGGCTTACGATTAACATATAATTCAAGACTATACGAAAAAAAAAAGAAAATAAAATAAAATCTATTCATATTGCATCAACGTGATTTAGAAGATTAGTGCGTTTTTTTTTCACCGATCACTTTGATTCTTTTGAATATTTAGCGTTAGAAACGCATTGCCCGGTCTCAAAAACTATTATAATTGCTGCCGCCCAACTGCGAGTTGAAAGTTCTGTTGTTTGGCGAGTATCCTGGCCTGAAGTTGTTACTTAAGCCTGTGTACAAAGAAATCTATATGTATGTATACATAAACAAAATACATGATAAACAATATGCAATATTGTGTCAATGTGATATAATAAATGCGAGTAGAACATTTGCATGCGATTTAAAAGTGGTAAAAATTATAAAATGTTTTCAAATTATGTAATATAGGGAAAAATATATACAAAATTCAATTTATAATAATTTTGTAAGAGATTATTAAATATATTTTCAAAATATTTTAGATACAATTTTTTTTAGCTTATCTTGTGTTTTCAGAAATTTTTGATATGATCCAACAATTTTATCTCTATAGAAATTGTCGATGTGACTTGTAAGAAATTATTTTATATATTTTTAAAATATTTTAGAAAATAACAATTTTTTAGTTTTAATTTAAATAGTTTCTATCTTCTGTAGCGTGTTTTTGGAAATTTTCCATATGATCCAGCATTACCTCCACAGAAATTGCCAATGCCACTTAGTGACATGTTACTTGATCCGCCGGATGAGTTCATGAATAGTTCAATATATCTATGCGACATGTGGCTTTTATCCTATAATGAAACGCGAAGAAATTAAACTTAACTTATCTTATGCAACTGTACAAATTATTGGAAATCTAAGTCAACTTTTAGAAATCATTTTTAATTTCTACACGTGAAAAAAATCGTGTATATAACATATATATATATATACACACACAATATACATATATACACATATAATTATACATAATCGTATATACGTTCAGTATCTGAAGTAAAAGTTGACTTCGATTAAAGAAATAAAAAAAGTACACACGAACCTTGCACATTGCTTTCAAAGCTTCTTCATGAGTCGCGAATTCTACGTCAGCTTCTCCAGATGGACGACCACCATTCTCAAGAATAATGCGAACGTTTACCGGCTCGATTGGTCTGAAGAACTGTAAAATAAGATCCAAAATGTTATGTTATTGAATATTAGGAAAGAATTTTTGAAAAATGGAGTCTTTTCGTTATTATCGGTTATGAGAATTACATCAGCTATGTCTTGTTCTGTCGCTTTGAACGGCAGTCCTCGCATATGGATACTATACACGCCGGAATTACCGCCCCAGGAGTCATTGTTGCCTCTGTAATTGCCACCCTTCATGTCCATGCTGCCACGCATTCCCATATTGCCACCACGAGATCCGTAATTGTTCCCACTTCCCCATGGACCGTTATCAAAGTCTAAAGCAGATTACAGTTTACGATAAATCTGAAAATACTACAAGCTCTAAGGAAGTAAATTATAAGACATGTAAATACATACGTAATGAATTAGTACGTGAATTGTATATTAAGTCTCTATTACGGTATTGTCCTGCACGATTGTCTTCGTACTTCGATAGATGAAAGGAATCACCTCTATTTCTGGATCCTCTGCCATTGTTGCTAAAACGATTCATCCCACCGAAGCGGTCACCACGAGTGTACGGCGCGGGCCTCTGATTGAAGCCGCCCATCGGACCACCGCGCATTTTCGGCCCGATACTAGCGCGTACCTCGGATAAGCTGCTTCGGAAGATCTCGATATATCTGTTAACGATTGAAGATATACGCGTTAGAGATGCGCAGAGCGACACGTTAGCAAATAAATAATTGTCATTATTATTATTATTACTCTCACCATACAAATGCCACCAAATTGAAAATTCGATAAAACTTAACGATACGGATTTAATTTGAGATATCACAAATGGTGAGAGACAAGAAAAACAAAAACATTGATACACGTCAACTCTATAGAAACAGAAAGGGTGGAAAGAGGAGTCATTCCTGCACAGCAGTAGCGAGAGATTAATTATTTATTGTCTGACGTTTACAATAAAAAGAAAAAAAAAGGAGGAAACTTGTGTGGCAGTTTGGCATTGAAGTTGAGTTTACAAGTGTGACAGAACAATTATATTCATACTAAACCTTCGCAATTTTTTATTAAACCTGCGAAGAGACCCTCCCACGATGAAATTCCTTCCCGACGTATCTACGTCACACGTACCCCACAAGCCCATGCGACGCCGACGATCTTCGGGTAAGCTACGCTTATAATTGCACCCTTTTGCAGATGAACATTTCCATTAACGTAGATTATCAATTTATTTAGCATACACTGACATAAAAAAATTTCCTAGTGTAATAATAAAGCGGTTTGAAATTTGCTAAACAGTTTGATTTTAAAATTTACAAGACGATCTTGAGTTTACAAGACAGTTTAATCTTGAAATTTAACGTATATCTGCAAAAAATGCAATTATGGGCGTCGCCTAGACGTTGTCGTATTGGATCGATGGTTACTTTCTCTCCACTTCTCTCTCTTTCTCTCTCTCTCTCTTTCTCTCTGTAGCACCCACCGAGCTTTGGCATGCCCTACCCACCTCCCATGGGATTTGGTGATGATGGTAAGGGGCTATCTCCCGCCCTCCAACACCCACCCACAAATATAAGTAGTTGGGTCCACAGTACTTTCGCTTACGTACGACTATTCGGTTATAATTGTGTTTTGAGAGAGGCAGTTTCTTTATGTCAAATAAGAAAAATTTTCTAGAGGTAGTCATAATCCTCTTTCGACACAAAAAGAAATTCATTTGTTCACGACTTTAAAAGACTGTTAAATTATTTATCTCGACACAGCAAGATGCAGAATTTTCTTAAATTAGCTTATGTTGAAAATTTTTAAAATGTGCGAATACACATATACTGAATAGAGCTTAATAATAGTACAAATACAATGGTTCCTCCATTTTCGTTCTCGCGTGGAAAATCCTCCTCAGGGAAAGATAAAGAAGCTGCATCCGTATCGAATTCGTTCCCACTATTTACTAAACGAAATGTATATACCTACATGTACTACGATCATTAATATAAATGATATGGAAAAGTCATAAGTATACCCAAACCCAGCTATACCGTCTCAGTGCCCCACCTGTGTCCTATCTTTTCCTTGTGTTTCTGCAGAGCGCGCTCCGCAACATCTTTGTTAACAAATTGAACGTAAGCCTCCCCAGTACTGCGGCCCGTGTAGTCTGTCGGTAGTGATATCCCGTTCGGAAGAATCTCCAACCCTGACCCACATATAATCAAACATCGATATTGTAGCTTATAGGCACCCATTAGAAAAAAGAAGTTATGGTCAAGTTTATTAAAACCCTTATAAAAGCAAAATTTTAAGGACTCTAAAATTGCGCACATACGTGCGCATTCTTTTTCTTTCTTTCTTCTTTCTCTTCGTGATTCTCCTTATACAGATATAAGACATTAAATTGCCACGTCCGAAAACCAAAGTTAAGAATTAAGCTCGATCACCAAGTTGCGCAATGAAAATATTTTCGTTCCGTTCGTACAAATTATAAAAATCATAAAACTGCGACACATTCGTATAGCACAACTCGGATCTTAGCGAAATCTTAAATCTTAACTGAGGCTAATCGTCGATATCAGAACACAGAAACTTCGCTCTTCAGATGGAATTTAATTTCATCTAATTCAATTTCGATACGTGCGTTCGAGCGAGAATTATCTCATTACTTTTAGTAGCTAATTTTAAAATAAGCATCTAATATTGTTAGAAAGCAATTGTTACAGCTTGCTAGAACTCATTGATGCAAGATAGTAATTTTAGTAATTTATGTTAAAGCCATCGAAAGTATTCCGTCGCTGCGTTCCTGAGACAAATTGTTGAATTTTATTTATTCATTTTTATCTTATGAAAAGGGACGTGTAAAAATATAAAAAAGCTACATATTTGAAAAAGATGAATAGGTATCTGTTTTCCAAGGATTAAATAAAATCTCAATGACATTTGATATCAATTAAAAAGCATTGATACTGGGTACTTTGATCGTTACATGCTAAGTACCTGAGAAGAATTGTGCAATTTCCTCTTTTGAACAACCAAACGGCAGGCCGCGCAATCTCACGCAACCATCGTCCATCGCATTCTCCAAATTAAGACCGCTCCTCTTCACGACCCATTCCATTTCGCCGCGTTTTGCTTTAAAAACTGAAACAGCAACATTATACATTTAGGTCCAGTGAGAAAGTAAAGGTAAAACCAATTATATTAAAGTATCTTACAATAATTGAAAACTGCTTTTTCTGTTAAACACAACCATTACATGTTAAAGGAATATAATAAATTAACCTTCGATATAACGGTGGCCCATGTGATCTCTGTCTCTTTTGCAAGCCTTCTCAATATCTTCTGGAGTATCCATTTCCACATAGGCTTCGCCGCTAGGGCGTCCCTCGCGGGACGTAGTCATATGAACTCCGTTCTTGCCATTTGAGATCGAACAATCGCCAAAGAATTTCATAATCTCATCTACAGTGGTAGACCATGGCAGTCCACGCACCTTAACGACATACCCTTCTTCCTCATGATCTCCACTACCACTCGACATGATTCTAATCTAATATAAAATTTTCCTTATAAATAATATCTGCAAACACAAAAACGAAATATTTTATAATCAATTTAACACAACGAAGTGAATGTAATTGTACAGAAAAATTATAATAGCGAGTTCAGTTAGACACACTAATGCACACTCAGTGCATATAAAGCCATTATAGACAATTTATGTATATTTAATATAAATGTAAAAACAGAAACTGCAAAATCCTCGATACTATTGGTAATGTTTGGTAAAATATGTATTTTAAATATATAGGGTGCATTTAGTATTACAGACCTTTTACTGAATGCTCAGGGAACAAAAAAAGAAGAAATATGTTTATTTATTATAACATTCATAATGTAGAGTATCTTATTTATTATAAACAGGGTTGGGTAAGTCAACTTTTTTTTTAAACTAAGTTAAAGTTAACAGCCTTGAAAATTTAACTTAATTAAAATACAAGTTAATCCATAATAAAATTAATTGAATTAAAAGTTAAGTTAATAAAAAAAAATTGAAAAGTTAAAAGTTAAATTTGATCCGAACGAACAACCAAAAAAAAAAAGAAAAAAGAAAAAGTTTATCTATTTTACATAATTTTTCGTATTTTTCCTTTCTCATAGCATATTTATTAAAGATTCTGGTTATTTTTGTTCGCAAGTAACGATTATACAATATAAAATTACTAAATTATATACTCATTGTCCCCTCGCATTGTGTCTGAGGATTGACTTGAAAAAAATCAAATTAAAAGTTAATAGTTACCGATAAAATGTAACTAAATTAAGTTAAAAAGTTAAGAGTCTAAAATGTAACTAAGTTAAGTTAAAATTAATTAACTATTTAACTTAACTTTTATCTTTTTAACTTAGCACCCAACCCTGGTTATAGATAATATTTAATATTATATTTCTTACTTACTAATTACTGTTTACTAATTCTAAGGCCACGAGCACTCAATAAGCAATATGAGTGACATAAAATTGCGCTCATATCGCTCACCTTAGAAAAATAATAAACAGTAATAAGAAATATAGTATTAAAGATTATTTATAATAGATAAAAATTATTCTATATTATATTATAATAAATAAACAATTAATTCTTTTTTTGCAAATTGAATACTCAGTGAGCAATTCATAATACTAAATGCACTCACATTTTTCCTAATTTATTAATTCAAAGTATTTGCATTTTATTTTAATACACTTAGATCAATATATAACTTTAATATGCTCTATTAACTTGATACCAAACTTGATTATATATATATATATATATATATGACTTAATTATATTACTTGGATACCAGCAATTTCGCAATTTTTCCAAAGATTAGATTCACATTACATGTTGAAATATGTAATGCGCTTTTTACGTTTCCTGGAGAAATTGTTTTTGCAAGAAACATACACTGATCACAAACAATAACAAAAAAAAAAGAGGAAAGAAAAACAAAAACCGGGACATACCAACAATTTCCGTCGATTTTCATATGCTGAATATTGATAGATAAATCGAAAAGAACGAGACACGGCTAAAGAGAAAGTAGGGGCAAATAATTTTCGATCGCAAAATAATTGTTCGGTTGATCGCGGCGTTCACTTTTAATCAACTCACAAGCAAAAATAATACAAAAGTCATGAAGAATTTAACCGACACCAAACGTTGGGTATTGTGACATATAGATCTATTTTCTATTCCTGCAGTAAATTGTTTTAGTCAAATATCAAATGTATATCAATTTTAATTGAAATTCCAAACATAAATACTAGTATAGTTATAAAAAAACAGACTCAATAGATGCACAAATATTTGATGAAATATCTCGCGGGGAATGCCATTACGACTGATGTTGGGAGAAGTAATGGCATTCAACAAGATTCATGACACCGACTCGCCAGACTTACCGCTGTCTAGGGCGTTGATATACTGTTGTTCCCGTTCTCGAGCGCAATGTCAGGTAACAACTAATTAGAGAAATATGCTCGAATCTCCACAATATTATCTTCAAAATCGTTTGCTGAATACTGCATACAAACGCTCGACACAACCGAAGTACCTGAAAATGCTTGGAAGCATCGAAACCGAAGATTCGTGAACAAAATGGTGGACGGTGACGACGCGTTCGGCAAGACGATCGATGCAAGCCGTGTTTCTAGGGCTGCGTTCCACTTAACGCTCACAACGCTCGTGGAATCATTTTATCCTTGTCGTTTATCAAATGTTAAACAAGGACAAACGATGCTCACGAGCGTTGCGAGCGTCAAGTGGAACGCAGCCCAGGATGCGTTCCAAAACTCGACTTCCGTCAACTCCGAGTATCTTTTATCCTTGTTCAACGTTCGGTGTACAACAAGGATAAAATGATACTTGGTTTGACAGAGTCGAGTTTTGGAACGCAGCCCAGAAGCACAACCGCTCAGGGTCACTTTATGAGACGCCGATTGGCTTAATCAACTGATTAGTCCATTGGAATTGGCCAATCACATTTATCACTTTTATTCTGCGCAGCCCCTCATTGTAGCCAACGTAACGAGTCCCGTCGCACCGCCGTGATTCTTGCCAGATCGTTCATGCACCGTCCCGCAGTTTGAAAAAGAGAGAAAGGAATTAGGGAAGGGAGAAGAGAATAGTACAAGAGAAACCGGACAATTTAGTGGACTGACGACGACGTAGCGAGCGGCTTGGGTTGTGTGATTCGGACGGCAATTCGTCTCCCCGGTATAGCAGCGTTTACAGGACAAGGAGAGCAAGTAGCATTGTGAGGAAGAGGAGGGCGATCGCACGCGCGACTCGCGAGTGTGGCGGCCGGCTGGCTGGCACGTTCTCGTCGTCGTCGTCGTCGTCGTCGTCGTCATAATCGCACAGTCCGTTGTCTTCACTCGTTACGCGTCTAGTTGAGCAAGGAGCGCACACAGCGGACCTGAGCAGACCACGCGACCGAGCGGAACGGGCGAGAGCGGACCCAACAAGCGGAGCAACTCAGCCACAGCTACGACGAGCCCGTCACGATGAGTTTTCTATTGTGAGTCTCTTCTTCGCCTCCGCGACTTTCTCCTCCCCGACCGTCACCGTCGAGTCGAGTCGAATTAAATCGCCGCCCTCCGATCGATACGTCCTCGTACTTCCTACGAGGACGAGACAGAACGAAGCCACTGGAGAAATTTTAATCTTATTCACCTCCTTTTGTGACAGCTGATGATTTATTTTTATTTAGAAAAGATTCCGCTAATCTTTGTTTCTTATTCTATTCCAGGATGTCCTCTTTTCTCTCTTTTTCTTTCATATCTAAAATTAATATTCGAATTTTTGTTCTCCACGACGAATTCGACGAGGATGACATTAATTTTGATGCCGTCTACCGGTGGATCGATCAAGAGTAAAAATAGCGCGCTTATTGTGCGGGAGGTTCTTCTTTGGCGCGTCTTCCTGCGGGACCCACCATGTTCCTCGAACGTCAGGATTATCGCTCGACGCGGCACGTAATCTATGAATCATCTGTCTCGGTGGCCGCGCCTTGTACTCCTCGTCATCGAGAGTGCCACGATGTCGACGTTTTCGGAGCCACTTTGACATTCGTGATAAATAACGCCGTCGCTTTCTGCGTGCGCGTGATCACGATCAGCTGAGCGTCGCGATCGAGCAGGGTTCCTTTTTTTTTAACTGTGACTTATTTACATTTTTCGTGTTTGTGAAAGAAAATATGTTTTGCCTTTTTTTTGTTTAGAGAAAAAAAGCGATGGCCAGAGAAAGTGTATAGAGATATAGATAAAGAAGAAAAGAAAAAAAGAGTGAAGGGAAGGGAGAGGAAGATAACGTTGCGTTTTTCTACCTGCCTCTTGTTCACTGTACATATCTTTACGTCATTCTTTTATTTCAAAAGTGACACAACTAAAAAAAATGATATATTAATTTTTTACCATAAGTTAGATGAAAATTACTCCATCGATCATCTCTCTCTTTCTCTCTCTCAAAAGTAATTTAACTTTACAGTCTATCCATCAAATAGCATTTGTATCATTCTTAAAATTTTTGAAGAAATAATATTAGATTGATGCAAGTAAAATGTCGGTTTTCCGTATTATAAAATGATGGTATTCCTTTTCCAATATATTCTAAAATATTTTTAAAAAATTAGCGATTATACCATTCGATAGAGCAAAGTTTCAGCTTTATGAATCTATATTTTTTTTTATTGTGATATAATGATTTTTAATGGAGTTTTATGAGCAATTAAAGTCAGAATGCTCTTTTTATTTAATCCACGAGTAATTCAGGAACAATAAATCGTAGGAACATTATTAAAAAACGATTTTGTAGGGAATGAGGGATTTCAAACTTTTACGATAGATAGTCAAAAATTTTCCCAATTTTTTTTCGGCACGTGACAGACCTACGAAGTGAGAAGAAAATTTTTCATTTTTTTCAGCTTGTAGTTTTCTATATGTAAAAATTACCAAACTCACATAAACTCAAAAAATATGGTAAGTTTTTGAAAGTAAAGTTTTCACAAGCTTTAAAATCCTTTTTTAAATTTAAATTTCATTTTTTAATGAAGTTACAGCTGCTCTTAATAGTAATACACAAGAAAACGTCATTTTATTTGCATCAATCTAATACCTTCTATCAGAGTAACACATTTTGAATTGTGTCATTTTTATAAATAAAAAGGAATCTTCTGCAGAGAACATTTAGAGTTAATATAGTTTGAAAAAGAAATTGTTAATGATATTTCGAGTTATGTCACTTTTGATGAATTATTTCAGATTTGTTATAATTTTGTAAGATATCAAAATCATCACAACTCAAAAAAGATAATTTTTTTTAAAGTTATAAAACGAAAATGACAAAAATAAAGATTATATTTATAGAAAAGAGATTTCTGAATTCAATACTATTATTCTTCGATTTATATTGTAAAATAGACTCGATGCAGGAAACGATCATATTTATTATTGAGAGAAAAATGTACATTCTTAAATAAAGAATTCTTTCATTCTTAAAACTAGAATGAAATTAAATGAAATTAGAGATTAAAAAGAAATCTATATATATATTTTTTTTTATTTTATCTACCAGTTTTAAACGTTTTATATTTTAAATATGTATATACTTAACACTTTATATTTCTAACATTGAGACTCGATCGGGTTCGAAACGCCGTTTGTGTATTTTTTGTTTTATTTCTTAATTATATTATATCTTCAATTTAAACATTGTTTTCTTATGGTTCGTAGCTCTTCTCAACACTTTTATTATTAATTTATATTAATTGAACCATATTACACGATGTATTTTAAATGACATTATTTAGCACATCGCCTCAAAAACTGTGGCATTGTGCGTTATAATATCGGGTAAAGATTTATTCTAAACGTAAGAATATATAATACATTTATGTGTTACTCTTATCTCAAGACAATAAGGCTGCTTTCCTTTTAGGAGACAATCGACACAAGTATTTTAATTTTGTTATTCATTGAATGTCAAGAAGAATAGAACGACGTTTATGTCGACTGTATCTCCTAAAAGGAAAGCAACTTAAGTCAATCTTATTTAGTTCGAGGGAGGAATTATTGGTCTAATTTTAATATTATTTTATTTTTATACTGCACAAAATTGCGATAAGATTAAATACGTTAAGAAGTATGTACAAGAAGGAAGATATCATATAAATACTAGATTTATTATTAGATAAATTAATGGCAGAGTTAACTGCCGACTTGTTATTGATAAGATTTAAAACTGGCAGACTGAAAAACTGAACAAAAAAGGAAGAATATTTTTTGTCTTTTTATCAAAAGAGATGTTATATTTTTTGCCGATATTATTTGATTAGTTAATAATTTTCTGTTAAGTTGAAAAATAGTTTTTTTCTTTTTTAAAAAATTATATTTTTTTTATCACTTTTGAAGTAAAAAAACGATATATATCTTCATTTGAATATTTGGATTCTTCATCTAAACATTTTAGGAATATAAAAAAGTGCAGCTAAATGGAGAATTTATTCTTATTATTATTAAAGAAATGCAATCTTTGATAAATCAGAAAATAAAATTATTGAAAAAAATTATAATGAATTAAAATAACATAATGGAGTCTTAGAATCACATATGTTATATACATTCATCTCTCAGATTTTAATTAAACACCTAATGTTTGAAATTTTTTAAATCTTATCAGTAATATAAGTGTCATTAATAAGCATTGATAGTTAACTGATTGCCATTGATTTATCTATAATGATAAATAGCTTATTCATGTGACATCTTTCTTCTTTGTTGTGTTTCATACTTCAGATTTTTAAGTGAAGATATGCAATTATTATTGTATAAGAAATATCAAACTACAATATTAAAATAATTTTGAATCTCTCATAATAGCAAATAGAAATCACAGATACGATCTTCTAATGTCTATCCTTTCTTTTTTAAGTGGGAGTAGGTCTTCCAAGACTTTTAAACCAAAGAAGAACATCCCAGAGGGTACTCATCAATATGACCTGATGAAGCATGCCGCTGCTACATTAGGCTCCGGTAATCTGCGATTGGCCGTAATGCTTCCTGAAGGAGAGGATTTGAACGAATGGGTCGCTGTTAATAGTAAGTCGAAATATTAATTTGTTTTTATTTCCATTATTATCTTTATATCAACCAAATCAACAAGATCTAAACGTTTATCTCTTTCCTTCAGCTGTTGATTTTTTCAATCAAATCAACATGTTATACGGTACCATCACAGAATTCTGTACAGAGGAAAGTTGTCCCATCATGTCAGCCGGACCGAAATACGAATACCACTGGGCCGATGGTCACACGGTGAAAAAGCCTATCAAATGCTCAGCACCCAAATACATAGACTACTTAATGACCTGGGTGCAGGATCAATTGGACGACGAGACTCTATTTCCATCCAAAATCGGTAATTATATAATTTTCTTCACGTGCTTTCTTTCTCGTTGATCATCCCGAATAGAAAACTAATTCTCGATTATTTTCTTTGCAGGAGTTCCTTTCCCCAAGAATTTCTTATCTATTGCAAAAACTATTCTGAAGCGGTTATTCAGAGTATATGCTCACATCTATCATCAACATTTTAGTGAAGTCGTGCAGCTCGGTGAAGAGGCGCATTTAAATACGTCGTTCAAGCATTTCATATTTTTCGTTCAGGTATACAATCGTATTTTTTTTTTTTTTTTTTTGAGGAGAGCATAAGATGGTACCATTTGTTTGACCTTGGTTAGCATTGTCAAAGTGGGAGCAAGGCTACGTTGAATTTTTTAAATGGAACCCCACATTTTTTTTATTACATTTTCTTGTAGCTTACCTCGAAAGCTTTTCAAAACACTATAATAAAATATTTTTTCATTAAGTATTTTTCGAGTTATAAGGCTCAAAAGTTACAGTACAGTCGGTATTAGCATTACGCAAGTTGTCCGACCGACGGTTAAAACCTCTTGAATGTTCAGGATCATGTCCTGGATAACATTTGTCAAGATCAAGGCCATTGGAGATTATTCCTCTTATTTTCATTTTTGCACTAAAAATTTATTTTTACGTAAAAATGAAAATAAGAGGTACAATCTCCATTGACCTTGATCTTGACAAATGTTATCCAGGACATGATCCTGAACAACATTCAAGAGGTTTTAGCCATCGGTCGGACACCTTATGTAATGCTAATGCCGGCAATATTATAACTTTCAAGCCTCATAACTCAAAAAACTCATACTTAATGAAAATGAACTTAATTATAGTGTTTTGGAAAGCTCTCAAGAGCTACCCAAGGTCAAACAAATGGTACCATCTTATGCTCTCCTTAAAGTCATAGAACTTTTCTCTGAACATATTAGAACATATTTGACATACATTTTCAGAGATAATAGCTTGTAACACTTTACATGGGCCATCCTGTATATATATGTATATATATATTATTTTAATTTAATTATTTGATTTTATTCCTGATATTTAATATATAATATCGCATTGTAGGAATTTAATTTGATCGAGAGAAGAGAATTGGCACCTTTGCAGGAGTTAATAGAGAAACTGACGGCGAAAGACGCACGATGAGTCCGTCTACCGTCTACGAGCCACTCGTCCTCTCGAAACTTTTCCAAAGAATCTCTCAACCATGCTATCTTCGCTAACCCGCACATATAATTACATTATTTAAACTGATCTATTAATCGCTAACTCCACGATCTGCCTCTGTTTGGAAAAACTAGCGGCAAAAACGTGTCACCGTTTCGGAAACAAGCGACTGATAACGCGAGAAAATGCCTACAGTGTTCGCTCTGAAACCTCATTCTTCTCTGACGGCGCATAGATATATTCTGTATATTCACTACGTGCATACACACATACAAAAAGAGAGAGAAAAAACTTAGCGAGTGGATAAGGACAACGAGACGGAAGTTATGAGACGGCGCGTTCGACTTTGTGACTCGGTTTTCTCCAAACGTTCTCTAAGCACGTTTCAATCGTAATTTATCAATTGCACTGCTGATACAGAAAGGAGAGATGATTCATGTTTAAGTACAAAGTGCACATTTCGAGGAAAAGAATTCGAAAATGCTAGATACACGCGTCTCTTCGCAAGCGAACAAGATTAATCGTAATGCTCGTGGATATTTTGCAATTTTGTTATTATCTGCTGCTCTACTATCGGATGTAAAAATACTGTCGCTATTATATCTGTAGAAATTACCGATGCTTCGTACGGCTATGTACGAATGCGACGGCATATCGTGAATTTCGTATGGTTACTTTTACGTTTAGGAATAGTTTTGTAGACAATTATTTCCTATCATTTCTCGGATTAGCATCCCGTATTTCTTATCGAGAAACTGCACATTGTTGATATAATAACATATTATATATATAGTGCCGTTAAAAAGGAAAGAAGAGTTAACGCGCAATGCTATCGCATCATTATGTAACGACTACTTTAAGATATCGTCCTGTTAAGCGCTTATAGACTTATTTATACGACTAGGGTTTTTGTATGCGTTTTATCTCCGTAGAAAGTGATATTTCCTGCTTCAGACGCTTTTCAGATACCGGTAGTTAGACCGTTTATATCGTCTTACTGCAATTTCTCGTGTAATTCTCGTCAATTTTTAATTTCCGTTTTCTAGGAATTAATGTTATGAACGTCATCGATAAAAAAACTATCACATGTCTTTGTTCCGTGAATGTCGTGAATGATGTAACGTAATATTTCACTGACTCATGTTTATCTTCGTCTGTCTCCGCCTAATTGAATTTATGCTGCATTAATGAATGATAGATTTCTAGCAGCACTTTAATCGTCCACAAAGTTCGAATCCGCAACGTTCGACTTCGAATACTTTTTTTTTAGTCGGTACTTAATAGCGATTTTATATCTCGGGTTAAAAGTGCGTTGCGAGTTGCAAGTGTCGAGTTATCTTCAATAATTGATCAACATCGCCGACAGTTATCGCCACTTATATATGGCCCGATTCGTTATGAACGTATTAAGTAATTCGTCGTTTTTTTCGACATGTTACGCGTGCGATAATAAATGAAATCTTTAGGAAATTCCAAAGTGCTGAGAAAAAAGTTTTAAAAAGGAAAACATATTTTTTTCATTGCAGTAGACGTTAAGAGTTCGATCGCGTGAACCTCGTATATATGTATACGTATACACAAATCGCATATACATATATTGATGTATTTTATTATAACGACACAAGATAGTGATTAACGGCAGCGAAATAAGGTGATAACGCCGTGAAACGAAGACGGTGCGTATATACGATGAATGTAGACATAAATGATAATGATAGTAACAGTAATATTGTATTCGGTACTTAAGGAAAGATAGTAAAACGTAGTGAGAGCGAGAGTAAAAAAAAACCAGCTCGCATTTGCCTGCGTTCTTCAGAGATCGTTAGAAATAGCGTCCGTTTGTGATTGCGATGGACGATAGTCTTCTACTAGAGAACTACGTTCTCGACGATCCAACCGACTACAGATGGCTATTTTTTATCTTATACGCGTTTATACGAGTATTAGTGATTCTCTCGACGCCAACCCGCAACTGCTATCCATTCGTGATGTTTAGACGCTTACCTTAGCAACGTTCCCGATCGGAGAACACTCTCTCCCTTTCCTCTTGAGCAACTTTCCGCGGCGCGAGTGCCTCAAACGCGACACTGTCCGACACGGTCGTGCAAAAAAAAAACCTGATATTCTGCAAATATGTTAGAAGTTATTTTAAAACGTTACGCACGAAAAATTAGCAAAAGATTAAAACTGCGCCGAAAGAACTGAACTGACGAGGATAAGTTCTCGAGTATTCGCGCAAGTTCTTTTATAGATCTCTATTAGATATAAAGAAAGTAAGTTTTCGAGGAAATTTTCAAATTCTTAACTGAACATCTCGAGGGAGAAAGATGTTTGTCTTTCAAGATTGTTCCTCATTTTCGGCTCTTTTAGCGTTAAAATTATGTATTAAAATTATGCTAAGTAATTTGTTGAGGGTGAACGTACGCAAGGTGAAAATTTAACACGAGATTTGTAGAGGCCGATTCGGTGGTTCTGATAATCTGATCGGTCGAGTTGCGAATACGAATGATAACTCGATCGCATCGGGTGGAAGGACCATATTTATGCTAGAAATCCTCTCGAGAGCATTTCTTTATAGAGAAGACGATCGTGTTGAGATGAGGTTGTATTCTCTTCGTTCGGAACGGCCTTTTCGCGGAGAGTTCTCAGCGACCAACTTTCCGCTCGTTTGATAGTAACGCTAGTGATATATGTGCAATGTAAATAATATTTTTCACATTAAACAGGAAAACCCCGGCGTCCTAATCATGGCGCATGGACCGCGTCTAAAATGTTTATAGTCCTGAATATAATCTTGTAATCTTTCTGTAATAAATATCGTTCCGATTGTATTCGCTCGCTTCTCTCTCTCTCTCTCTCTCTCTTCCCCTCCCTCTCTCCCTCCCTTCCTCCTTATTATAAACAATATAAGTTACATATAAACTTATTATAGTTATTATTATAGTTAATGAGAAAAACAAAAATTAACTCCTGTTTATATAATTATTTTTGTTTGCATCAATTTTCAAAAATTTATATAGATTATCCCATTTTATTTTAAATAGTTAATTTTCTTCGAAATTATTGATAATACAAAAAAATGTTTCAGATGAAAAATGAAGTGGTTTCGAGGATGTATTTTAGTCATGTTGTTTTCTTTTTAGGTACCGAAAAGAAATGTGAAAGTTACCTTCAATCTCTTAAACGGGATTGTATAGGTAATTTTTTTTCACATGGTATGATCCCTCTAAATCTGCACACATATAAAAATATAAAAATACCAAAATAGAGATATTGAAAAATCAAATAGTTTATGAGATATTTTATACTTTATTCTGGCAAATTATGATACGAAATATAAAATATCTCAAATCTAAAAAAAAATCTAAAAAAATATTTGAATTAACAATTATCTAAATTATTGATTTATTGATGTCCCTACTTTTATGTGCAGGTGAACGTATTAGGTGAAAAAATTCCATTTTAAAAAGTGAAGATGATTTTCGAACTTTTTGGCGCCTTAACATAGTAAAAAAGACACCATGTATAACACTCAATATGTGTGGAAGATGCTATGTAGATTATTTTAATTTTTGTTTAGCCCTTCTATTATCACTGTAAGATTTATTTCCTTTCTTTTTTCTTGTGTATACAAAGCGTTTCGAAATTATAGATAAAAATGAAACTGGCTAATAGAATCCACAAACACGTAACAAAACTTGAATTCAACAACATTATCACATATGTGATAATGTTGTTAAGGTCATGACTCTGAAAGACTTCCAACAAGTTTTAGGTAGCTTTCACTCTCGACTCTTGTCCTCCCCCCCTCTGCAAAGGGCGCACGACTTTCACCCTCGACTCTCCCCCCCCCATCAAACAGTATAATTACGGAAGTCGGACAACATATATCAAGGTCAAGATCATTGGCGCGGTATCCATTAAGGGGGGAGGATCATATAAACAGGCGTTTTTTTACGAATTTATTTAAAAGAAATGAATAGGTTTATTAAATTTTGGTAAAAAAACATCGTAATATTGACAATAAATTCTGTCAGAAAAAATTTTTTTAGTGCTATAAAAATTCAAAATGGCGTTACAGCTGCTCAAGGATGACTCGTTTTTTTTGCGCCGTGCAGGCTACAGGTCGTCCTAATTATCTGAAATAAAAAAACCAAAATTTTTTTCGTTAAAATATGATCTTGCGCAGATCTTGAACCTAAATTTAAAAAAAAGAATCGAAAATTAAAAATTAGGACACTTTTAAAAAAAAATCGATCTTTCTTTTTACAAACAATTTGTTATAAACAATATTTATTATTGATTTTTTAATGATATTTTAGGTTCAAGATATGGTCAATAAGTTAAAGAATATCTGTGTAAAATTTGAAGTCGATCGGTCAATTAATTTTTGAGCTAGGTTGCACGGCGTGCGAAAAAATGTGTTTTGAGAAAAACGCGTTTAAAGTTTTCGATAGGAAAAAGTAGTATTCAATTAATGATTAAGTAGACATACCGCTATATAAGTTTAATCTGCAATGCCAATCTAATATGCTTTCCTCCTCTGCGAAATCGTCCATTTGAGCCGTTAATTCCTGTTTTCGAGCTGTCCTGGCCTCTTTTGATCTGCTATGGCTTCTATGATTCGGTCTATTCACGCGATTAGTGTCGTACGTATTGGCGAAAGTTTAATGCCAATTTGGGTTTATAACATCAAAAATACATTCTTTAGATGTTAAATGAATTTTATAAGCAATAAAAAAAAAGTGTCGAAAAATTCGATTTTACATGACCCTCCCCCCTTAATAGAGGAAAGTCCCCTATTATGAGATAGGCGCCTAATATGAGATAGCAGCGTTTCTGCTAAACTAATAAACGCTATCTATTGGTTCCACTATGAATTTATTGCTCTTGGATTGAAAACTATTTAGTAAAGTTCAGTATTAGATCATGCCTGTAGTTATTGTAAAACAAAATTTTAGAATTTGGATGTCTTCAAGTTTTATTGAGATGACCATTTAAACCTTGTTTATTATTTAATAAATAAATATTTGGCAATAAAATCTTCATGTAGTGATAGAGTAAGGTTGTAGTAATAGAAAAATACGGGATATGTTGAATTGTTTAATTATAGAAGTTAGATTTGATGATCGTAAAGCTATAAGGCGTGGAAATCGTAATATGAGATACCAGGGTATTCCTAATATGAAATATTAGGAATGCTATAGTATGTTATAGTAAAAATCGTTGCTAAAGTATAAATGTTATTGTACAATAATAAAAAAGACAACCGGAATGAATGTCGAGTGCCGGAATGAGCGTTGAGTGAGTGTGAATCTGCGATGCTTGATTCCAACTACCAGAAAACAAGTTCTAAATATAATCTATTGTATGCTCATTTTTCGCGCACGCTGGCTATGTTTGTTCGTATTTTAGAAACATTAAATAAAGTTTTTTAATTGCAATATTGATATACTTTCCGTTTTACTATCGATTTTTCGGGACATCTCATATTAGGAGCACAATTTTTTCATTTTGCGTTTTGCTCACTTTTTACATTTCTTTAATTTAAAAAAAAATGGAATTTGAATTAAATTTTAGGTAACATCATCTTAAAGCTTATTACAGTATATGTGTGTGTGTGTGTGTGTAATCGTATAAAGAAATTAGCTTATAAAATAAAAAATTAAAAATACTTAACTTGAAATTAAATGTCTATACCATATATACCGATCGAAGCTAGATCTTTAATGCTTAAATAATTCAATGTGATACATTGAACTCGGCGACGCCACCCAAGGTCAAGCGAATGTGATCAGTGAACAGATCTTTTCAAACTCTGCAACTTTTATCTGAAACATTTTTTCAAAAATGCATACTTTCCGAGATATTCAGCCGACTCAGAACTTTTGGCAGGCAGTGCATATACTATGGATGTATACATGCATATATATCATGTATCACATTGAATTATTTAAAGAAAAGAATGGTTTTACTGAATTATTTAAAAATGTATCTAGATGTAGATCTGAAAACAATTTTGTTGGAAAGAACGTCCAAATTGGTTGCTATAATGTCTTACTTCTGTTACTAAAATTTTCTGCAGCATTGCCCATCATGCTTGAGACTCAATTCTGCATAATAAATTATTTTTAGATATGTGTGTCTATTTAAATGTTTACATATTTAATTCAGCAAAATTGTTTGTTTTTTGTATACATTAACATAATCTTGAATATTATAAGATAATCGAGCGACCCGATCGAGTCTCAGTGCTAAAGGTGATATACATATTTCGTGAAATTGATCCGTATATTATAATATTTTTTTACTTCGAAAAAAAATTATGACGTAGATGATCGAATATATGAGACAAAAAGTCACATAGTGCGAATAAACCACAAAAACTTGACAGAGAATAACAAATGTCTGTAGAATTAAAATCAGAAAATATATATACGTTCTGGAGAATGAGAAAAAAGCAAAGAGTAGAATGTATACTCCACACTTTACTTGTCCCACTTGTCGCTTTTTCAAACTCGTTTGCCGGCTGTCTTTTCGTGCGTTATCGATGCGAAATAAGAATCAGTCATGAATGGTCGTGGACCGTGACGGATGTATCTGGATAATCCTCGTTTAGTTCGAAAGCTGTGAATCTGATGAAGATTATCTCGACAAGATTCTTTAGAGCGTAATGTTACAGTGTACTTCCTTGAAAATTCATAAAAATCAGGTAAGATAATTAAATTAAACTTTATCTCAATTTTCTTCTTTATATTTATTAATACAATAAAATAATGCCGATTCACGATAATGAGGATCGCAAAAAAATTATGACGTAGATGTTTGAATAGATGAGACTAAAGAGTTATATAAATGCGAATAGACTATAAAATCTTGACAAAAAATAAAAAATCGTAATAATTAATGTCTGTAGAATTTAAATCAATAGAAAATATGCATTCTGCAGAATGACAAAAAATCAATGTAATAAATATACTCCACACTTTGTTTGTTCCACTTGTTACTTCTTTGCGATTGCGATTATTTTAAATAAATCAAGTTTCATATCGATATTCTGTGTTGGCTCTAATCAGCGTTATTTTATTGCAAATACAGAAGTGTTCTATATCATATATTATTGTTGTATATAAAATTGTGATACTTCAATTTTGGGTGAACATGCAATGTCCCGAAAAATCACAATCCCGAAAACTGAAAACTAAGACAATGTCTCGAAATGTCACAGTCCCAAAATTTAAGAAAAATTCGACAATTTCCCGAAAAGACAATCCCGAAATCTCTCTCTCTCTCTCTCTCTCTCTCTCTCTCTCTCTCTTAAATATGAGACAATATCTCGAAAAGTTAAAATCCCGAACTTTAAGAAGTGCGACAGTGTCCCGAAAAATCATAATCTAAAAGTATAGTATATACAGATAAAAAAGACAGTATATATAGATAAGGTATATAAGATAAAAAGCAAAAAGTATATACAGATAAACAAATATACAGATTATAAACCAATATTGAAATATATATTTCAGAAATCATTTAGAATTCATTTGCGGTACAGTAACGACCATTTTGAAGAAGCTGTTCAAAAAGCTTCTCTACATACCCCATAAGCGGAGATATTACGATGCAAAATGCGCTATATGAGACATCGATTCAATCATTATTTGCGATATTATGTAGGGTAAAGTTGCCAAAATCGCACCGGCTCTTAAATCGCACTACCTCGCTTAAAAATTCAATTATTGTATTTATATACTTTCTTATGGGTTATTTAAGATCTACATGATACTGTAATGCTACTCTATTATATTCGTGACATGAAGTGCAACAAGAGTAT